AACATGAAGAACAGGAAGCAAAACAAAATGATTCCGGACAGGAACACAATATTACGAACACAGATAGCCTATGATGCCTGGCCACAGATATTTAATAACAAATAGGAAGCGACCAGTGAAGCATACCATTTGAATTTAAGAACAAAATCGTACCCCTGAGGGTATTTTTGAGTACCCATATATTTCCATCACCATAAATACACTATAACGATTTAATAGATAAGGAGCTAAAACGAGTATTACCGCAGAGCAAAAACGAGTTACTATCACTGCAGTAAGAGAGATAAATCAACGCAAACAGGAGAACTATCTACGCAGGTAGAAGCTGGAAATCAAACTGCAGGTAAAGAGAGACTGGAAATCAAACTGCAGATAAGGAGAGACTGGAAATCAAACTGCAGGTAGAGAGAGACTGGAAATCAAACTGCAGGTAAGGAGGGAGAGACTGGAAATCAAACTGCAGGTAAGGAGAGACTGGAAATCAAACTGCAGGTAAGGAGAGACTGGAAATCAAACTGCAGGTAAGGAGAGATTGGAAATCAAACTGCAGGTAGAGAGACTGGAAATCAAACTGCAGGTAAGAGAGACTGGAAATCAAACTGCAGGTAAGGAGAGATTGGAAATCAAACTGCAGGTAGAGAGACTGGAAATCAAACTGCAGGTAAAGAGAGACTGGAAATCAAACTGCAGGTAAGGAGAGACTGGAAATCAAACTGCAGGTAAGGAGAGACTGGAAATCAAACTGCAGGTAGAGAGACTGGAAATCAAACTGCAGGTAAGGAGAGACTGGAAATCAAACTGCAGGTAAGGAGAGACTGGAAATCAAACTGCAGGTAAGGAGAGACTGGAAATCAATGCAGAAAGAGACTGAACAAATGCAGGTAAGGAGAGACTGGAAATCAAACTGCAGGTAAGGAGAGACTGGAAATCAAACTGCAGGTAAGGAGAGACTGGAAATCAAACTGCAGGTAAGGAGAGACTGGAAATCAAACTGCAGGTAAGGAGAGACTGGAAATCAAACTGCAGGTAAGGAGAGACTGGAAATCAAACTGCAGATAGAGAGACTGGAAATCAAACTGCAGGTAAGGAGAGACTGGAAATCAAACTGCAGGTAAGGAGAGACTGGAAATCAAACTGCAGGTAAGGAGAGACTGGAAATCAAACTGCAGGTAAGGAGAGACTGGAAATCAAACTGCAGGTAAGGAGAAACTGGAAATCAAACTGCAGGTAAGGAGAGACTGGAAATCAAACTGCAGGTAAGGAGAGACTGGAAATCAAACTGCAGGTAAGGAGAGACTGGAAATCAAACTGCAGGTAAGGAGAGACTGGAAATCAAACTGCAGGTAAGGAGAGAACTGGAAATCAAACTGCAGGTAAGGAGAGAACTGGAAATCAAACTGCAGGTAAGGAGAGACTGGAAATCAAACTGCAGGTAAGGAGAGACTGGAAATCAAACTGCAGGTAAGGAGAAACTGGAAATCAAACTGCAGGTAAGGAGAAACTGGAAATCAAACTGGAGGTAAGGAGAGACCTGGTGGAGGTTTAACCCCTGAAGCTCATTAGTTCAGATTTACACTGACAGTATATTCTGGAAAAAGCCATTTGGACCAGACATCTACATCTACAGTAAGTTGCCTGGGTTTTTGGCTGATTGTGGAGGGACTCCAGGATGTGTGGTTGTCTGATGTACATGGAATAAAAGTGACGTACTCAGTGCACGCCGCTCAGGGTACGTGAAAAACATGTCCCACTGAGAAAACCTTAGAGAACAAGGACGGACAGAGAATGGAGCGCACAAGGCAGGTATATTTATTCAGAAACAAGCCAGTGCTAGGCGTGCATGTACAAATAGGAGTGTATTTGCATTTAAGTGTGAATATACAAGTAGGAGCTCATATATAAGATGTATATACGCAGCCACTAGTGTATTTTGGGCTGTTGTGCCTATAAAGGTTGATGTGAATATACTGTATAGATATTGGAATATATACACAAGGTGAATGAATACAGGTGAAATTATATAAATTATATAAATTACAGGAGTCTATACATATACTTGTGCAAATAAAAGCTGAAATCTTTATAGAGGCAGGTGTCATTATATGCAAGAAGGTGTGTGTATATGTACAGACAGGTGTATGTATACAGACAGGTGTATGTATACAGACAGGTGTATGTATACAAACAGGTGTATGTATACAACAGGTGTATTATACAACGGAGACAAGGTGTATTATACAGACAGGTGTATGTATACAGACAGGTGTATGTATACAACAGGTGTATGTATACAGACAGGTGTATGTATACAACAGGTGTATGTATACAGACAGGTGTATGTATACAGACAGGTGTATGTATACAGACAGGTGTATGTATACAGACTAGCATATGCAGGAAGGTATGTTTATATTGGCAGGTTAAGTTATAAACAGGCTTAAGTATAGCAGCAGGTATGTGAGTATATATAAGCAGGTGTATGCATACACAAATAACCCGCACATAAAAGAGAGAAGCTTACGACGACGTTTCGGTCCGACCTGGACCATTGACAAAGTCACAGTGTGACTTTGTCAATGGTCCAAGTCGGACCGAAACGTCGTCGTAAGCTTCTCTCTTTTATGTGCGAGTTATTTGTGTATCGTTCCAGTCACGGTATTGTGCCTTTTTTTGTTATTCAGGTGTATGCATATGGAGTCAGATGTGTATATGCAGGGATGTGTGAATATACAAGGTGTATGTATTTAGACATGTACATTTTGGCAGATATGAATATGCAGGCAAGTGTGTATATAAAGACACACACACATACACGGGGCCTGGAACTATGACTTGACCCCTGCAACCACAACTATGTGAGTACACACACACACACACACACACACACACACACACACACACACACACACACACACACATATACACATATACACACAAACACACACACACACACACACACACACACACACACCACACACACACACACACACAATGGGCCGGATAACTTCTCTCCATGGGTCCTGAGAGGGAGCAGAGGCACCATGTGTACCCCTAACAACAATATTCAATACATCTATCGAAACAGGGAGATTGCCTGAGGCATGGAAGACAGCAAATGTAATCCCAGTCTTTAAAAAAGGAGACAGGTATGAAACACTAAACTACAGACCAGTGTCACTGACATGTATAGTATGCAAAGTCATGGAGAAGATTATCAGGAGGAGAGTGGTGGAACACCTAGAAAGGAATGATCTCAACAGCAGCAGCCAACATGGTTTCAGGGACGGGAAATCCTGTGTCACACACCTACTGGAGTTCTATGACATGGTGACAGCAGTAAGACAAGAGAAAGAGGGGTGGGTGGATTACATTTTCTTGGACTGCAAGAAGGCGTTTGACACAGTTCCACACAAGAGATTAGTGCAAAAACTGGAGGACCAAGCAGAGATAACAGGGAAGGCACTACAATGGATCAGGGATTACTTGTCAGGAAGACAGCAGCGAGTCATGGTACGTGGCGAGGTGTCAGAGTGGGCACCTGTGACCAGCGGGGTCCCACAGGGGTCAGTCCTAGGACAAGTGCTGTTTCTGGTATTTGTGAACATGACGGAAGGAATAGACTCCGAAGTGTTCCTGTTTGCAGATGACGTGAAGTTGATGAGAAGAATTCATTCGATCGAAGACCAGGCAGAACTACAAAGGGACCTGGACAGGCTGCAGACCTGGTCCAGCAAGGGACTCCTGGAGTTCAACCCCACCAAGTGCAAAGTCATGAAGATTGGGGAAGGGCAAAGAAGACCGCAGACGGAGTAGAGTCCAGGGGGCCAGAGACTACAAACCTCACTCACGGAAAAAGATCTTCGGGTGACTATAACACCAGGCACATCTCCTGAAGCGCACATCAACCAAATAAGAGGTATGTCTTACGAGGAGAGGTTAAGGGAAATCAACCTGACGACACTGGAGGACAGGAGAGATAGGGGGGACATGATAACGACATACAAAATACTGAGAGGAATTGACAAGGTGGACAAAGACAGGATGTTCCAGAGATGGGACACTGCAACAAGGGGACACAGTTGGGAGTTGAAGACACAGATGAATCACAGGGATGTTAGGAAGTATTTCTTCAGCCACAGAGTAGTCAGGAAGTGGAATAGTTTGGGAAGCAATGTAGTGGAGGCAGGATCCATACATAGCTTTAAGCAGAGGTATGATAAAGCTCACGGTTCAGGGAGAGTGACCTAGTAGCGACCAGTGAAGAGGCGGGGGCCAGGAGCTTGGACTCAACCCCTGCAACCTCAACTAGGTGAGTACAACTAGGTGAGTGTACACACAGAAAGGTTAAGGGAAATTAGCCTGACGACACTGGAGGACAGGAGGGTAGGGGAGACATGATAAGGCCATATAAAATACAAGGTGGACAAAGACAGGATGTTCCACAGATGGGACACAGAAACAAGGGGTCACAATTGGAAGTTGAAGACTCCTATGCTCATGGAGCAGGGAGAGGAAGGACCTAGTAGCAGTCAGTGAAGAGACGGGGCCAGGAGCTATGAATCGACCCCTACAACCACTAATAGGTGAGTACAAATAGGCGAGTACACACACAAACTTGGATTGCGTTTTCTTGGACTGCAAGAAGGCGTTTGACATAGTTCCATCTAATCCAACTAAATATAATTTAGATAAGTTTACAAAAAATAAATAAACACAATGAAATATATTTTTGTCGTTACGTTCAGAATGATTTTTGCGAAATTATTGTATACACAAATTTTCGCTTGCCTTATTCGGCAAGAAGAGCGTTGCTATTTAAGCCAAAAATGGCAAGTTTTACCTATTCGACACGCCACACACAGTCAAGGATGCTTATATACTCCCAAACAGCTATGTAAACATAAGAATGTATAAAAATATATATCTGGTTAGCGTGTATATACATTCAAGTGAGAGTATATATATATATATATATATTCTTGTTTACTATCTTACCTCAGTGGATGACGAATGGGCTGCACCGGTACAGAGCAGTGTGGGCGTGCTGAGGGTGTGTGTGGGGGTGATGTGGGCGGCCACCCTCCTAGCTGCTTAATCCTTCCTGCATCAACTCCCACCTGCAGATTGTGAGTCACCCAGGTGAGTGACTGTAGCAGAGTTTGTGAGTCACCTGGGTGAGTGACTGTAGCAGAGTTTGAGAGTTATTCAGGTGAGACGAGTTGTTGTGGCTCTCCTGAGTAAACCGTGTCACCCCTTTGCGATTCACACAGATGAGTCATGAAGATGAGTCACTAGTCTCATAAGCCACCAAGGTGAGTCAGTTGAGGGAGTCACTCTAGCCTCACAGGTAAGTCATCAAGGTGAGTCAGTTGAGGGAGTCACTCTAGCCTCACAGGTAAGTCATCAAGATGAGTCAGTTGAGGGAGTCACTCTACCCTCACAGGTAAGTCATCAAGATGAGTCAGTTGAGAGAGTCACTCTAGCCTCACAGGTAAGTCATCAAGATGAGTCAGTTGAGAGAGTCACTAGTCTCAGAGGTGAGTCATCAAGGTGAATGTTTCAGGTGAATCATAGGCGAGTGTTTTAAGTAGTTGAAAGCAATATCTAAAATGATAGTGTTGTTGATGATAGTGTTGTTGATGATAGTGTTGTTGATGATAGTGTTGTTGATGCTGACGATGGTGTTGTGCAAAGAAAGGTATAAAATACCGACAATATGAAAGTTAAGACACATGTGCAACATCTGGATATCTTTATTGTAGTAGACGTTTCGCCATCCAGTGGCTTTATCAATACAGATTCTAGGACATAATAGGAAGACAGTAGAACTATATACAAAAGATGAGGTAATCAGTCCCTCGGCCTTGGAGTTAGTGTTCACAGCATCGTGGTGGAGGAGAGTCTGGAGCAAAGGCAAGAAGACTGGCGCTTTTTATAGGCGTCAGTGAATGGGACGGGCAGCAGACGAGGTCAGTCACTGGTAGGCGGGATTCCCCAGTGGAAGTAGGTCCTTCCCAAAGAGATGGGTTAGTTGCAGCAGCAACTAACCCATCTCTTTGGGAAGGACCTACTTCCACTGGGGAATCCCGCCTACCAGTGACTGACCTCGTCTGCTGCCCGTCCCATTCACTGACGCCTATAAAAAGCGCCAGTCTTCTTGCCTTTGCTCCAGACTCTCCTCCACCACGATGCTGTGAACACTAACTCCAAGGCCGAGGGACTGATTACCTCATCTTTTGTATATAGTTCTACTGTCTTCCTATTATGTCCTAGAATCTGTATTGATAAAGCCACTGGATGGCGAAACGTCTACTACAATAAAGATATCCAGATGTTGACGATGGTGTTGATGGAGATGACAGTGATAGATATAAAGAGGAAAACTTGGACAAGTAGACAAATATGACGCATGTTCAACACTCTGGTATCTTCATTGCTCAAGGGTTTCGACTACACGATGTGCTTCTTCAGTTAGAAACCGAGGACAGCAGCAGTAATGGAGAGGTAAAGATGAAGTGATCAGTCCCTCAGCCTGATGACGAGGTCAGCTACATAGTCTGGAACAATGTGAAGCAGGAACATGAGAACTGGGTCATATATGATGATAAATTAGACACATGTGCAACTCTTGGGTATCTTTATTGAGGAAACGTTTCGCCACACAGTGGCTTCATCAGTCCATACATAGGAGAAACTTGAAGAACAGGAGGAGAATGAGGTAATCAGTCCCTCAACCTTGAGTCGATGTGTTCAGTCCATCAATCTGGAGTAGATTGATGGACTGAACACATCGACTCAAGGTTGAGGGACTGATTACCTCATTCTCCTCCTGTTCAAGTTTCTCCTATGTATGGACTGATGAAGCCACTGTGTGGCGAAACGTTTCCTCAATAAAGATACCCAAGAGTTGCACATGTGTCTAATTTATCAACATGTCGGTTCTCTGAACCATTCATCTACAAACATGGGTCATATATACTGCCGAAGGTGGCGCCGAAGGTCTCGAAGACGTTGCAGGAGGCGGGACCCACTAGCAGATGCAAGCAAGACAAGATTTAATTCTGATGCTTCAATATCAATATGTAGAGTTCAATATCAATATGTAGAGTTCAACTCTACATAGTTCCATAATGTAGAGTTGAACTCTTCTCAAGGGACTGACCTCTTCAAAGCTAATGAACTGATCACCTCACCTCACCTCGCCACTTCTGCTGCTGTCTCAATATTGATTCTCCTTTGTATTTGACTGAAGTCTGCAATGTAGGCCAAACATTTTAACAATAAGATACAAATCTACTTGCGATAGTGACGATGGTTATAACACCGGTATTGATGTTGGTGTTGATGATTATGACATTGAAAGAAGGAGCACTACACCAGGCCTACTGGCCCAAGATAAGTAGGTCCAACTCACACCAACTCGTGTACTTGTCTAACCTATTTTTGAGTAAAAGGAAACTAGTGTAAGTACTGTGACATTTTCCTGTGGCAACGTTTCGCTCTCCAGGAGCTGTATTAAGCCGTTACAAACAATACGTGGACACAGAGGGTATATATAGTTACCACATAAGGTCAAACAGTAGGCATATTGACCAATGTAGTAGATAGTAGTAGTAGTAGTATAGTAATAATAGTGGTAACAGTAGTAGTAATAGTAGTAATAGTAGTAGTAATAGTAGTAGTAATGTAATAGTAGTAGTAGGTATGTGATGGCAAGGTTTATTGTTTTAATTATAATTCTGGCTAATACCTCCGAAATGACGAAGTTGCCTTTATTTTGTTTAGTGCTGTCTCAAATGCGATTAAATATGAAAAGGGATTTACGTCTGCGAAAGTTTGTTTCTTTCATCACTATGCGAGCGTCACTGAATCTCAGCATGCGTGTTGAACGCCTTCGTTGTTCAAGTTGTCGTTTCTGCATCCATTGATACGTTCACTGAGACGTGTTTGAAGAGTACGCGCTGTTTCACCGACGTATACCTTGTCACATCCTCCGCAAAGGATTGTGTAAAGATATAAGAACATAAGTTTGGAGGTATGACAGTAGGGATATTCAGTGACAATCCCAGATTTTCACTTAGCAGATTACAATGGGCTTAGAAAACACCTATCATTGTGTACTGGGGTGACGAAGAGAACTATCAATATGACAGTTTTCTAAACATTATATACGCTGCCTAAAGAAAATTTATTCCGTTTAGAGAAATATGATCGAACAGAAACGATCCGAAATGCATGAACAATAGGCTCAAACATCTTTTAGGTCAGAAAAAATGAATTTATAGGCGTATCAAAAAAAGATGAATTCTGTCATAGATCAATATACTTTTAAATTAAGTGGGAAGTTAAAAAATTAAGAAAAGCTAAACGGGACTATGAAATAAATGTGGTAAATGATTAAAAAAGTAATCCAGAAAGTCTTTTTCCCACCGGATTAAACCAATGCCTTGACCTAGTCAGGTCAGTCACATTCACTTAAGGGGGGAGCACGGCATCTGACCTAGTAACACAAGCTAGTCACTGCAGCAGACCTATAATGCTACCACCTGTGTCCTAGCGAGATTCACCCCCATCCCAGTTTTTCAATAAATGAGATTGCAAGCCCTTTTCAGTACCTGTCTAGCTAACAATTTGCACCAATTGCTTTAGATGTCCATTCATTGCCATCTTCTCGTGTAGGGAAAATACTACGTACGATCTGGGCCCATTACTTATCAGATAGCTCCTGTCTCCTGCCCTTCCCAATATCGTTTCCAGCAGCACTGAGGCAGATAATGGGCTTGTTTCCCTTACCTGACAGCATATTATCCAACCTGTTGACTGTCACCAACACCAGCTCCTGGGACACACACTGCTTCACCTTCATTTCTGTGTTACAGAAGACACGGTCGATATTGCTTACCTGTGAGTCACTGAGGACAAGGATATTCTTACCTGCATTGTTGTGGCAGTTGTGTTGATGTTGATAATGGTGTTGATGATTTTGAATGATGTTGATGTTAATAATGGTAGATGTAAAGATAATGACAGTGTTAAATATCACACTGGATAATGACACAGTGAGTAGTGATGATGGTGACAATTGTTATCGACAGTGGTAATGATGTTAGTGACTGTGGTGACGGTGGTTGATGGTGGTAGTGATGATAGTGAGAATAGTGTTGATGGCTGTAATGTAGACATCAACTGATAAGGGGCGTCAACTGCATAATGAGTAGTGTACGTCACAATGTGATGCGTCACTTAGAACAGAAGTAATTAGGGTGATGAGTCCGTTTCAGAACAAAAGTGTAGCGTGATGTGCACCTTTCAGGAACCAGAAAGTCAGCACTCAGGCGTGATGATGTCACCTCTCAGGAACCAAAGTCAGCCTCAGCGTGAATGATCACTTTCAGAACCAAAAGTCAGCACTCAGCCAGAACACAAGCAGGACAAGGAGGGAAGCAGGTGTTGTGACCAACAGGACTATCATTAGACAAAGCACCAAAGTGCGAAGGAGACATTGTAACATTTTTATGTACTCGGAGAAATTGTGACATTTGGTTTCTCAGGGTCTCGTACTCCACAATGACATTCCATGATTATCAGTGTGAACATTGCAGTTAGTTGCATTAGTGACAATTCAGACTTCTGTAAAAGTTAGCGGGGAACATGTAACCATCATGAGGTAATTTCTTGCTATCCACACTGAAGATAAGCGTCCTTTTTCTTCGGCTGTCAGAGTCGTACCAGAAATTTCACTGAGGAATTAATATCAGAACATTCTTTCACCATAGACATGAAACACATATCCTAAAGATTTTTACTAATGCAAGGGTATCGAGGACTAGTGTTATCAACTTCTCAAACATGGTGGCTTCTTGCAGTTAATCTGTCAGGGCATTATTTAGCACAAGAAACTACGTCAAGCCATCTTGGTCATGGGCAGCCATTGTTGTTGGCATCGCACAGACATTTGCCAAAGTCTTCAGTTTGAAAATTGTGATCGCTATCAGCCTTTTCATCTGGTTATTGACAGTGAAACCTCTTAAGTTCAGCCTCACTAAAGACGCCAAAATGCCTTACGTACCAGGCAACTACACCTGGTGATTTTACAGAGCAGTCTGGCTTGTTCCAGAACTTTGCGACTGATTAGGTTTATTATCTTGAACCTAGTTACAACAGAACCTCTCTCTGTTTTGGTCTGACTAGTAACTATGGCTGTCAGTGTGACTGTATATAGATCTCCTGGCTGTCCAGAGTGAATACCTTAATTGCTTCAAAGTGTACATAGATCTGGAGCGCGACACGAACAGCGTGATCATCCCTAGCCAGGACAGAAACGAAAGGCCGCCCCCCGGGGCCTGGTCTCAGACCGAGCTGCGGGGGTGTTGTCCCCCGAAACCTTCTCCAGATATACTCCAGGTATACATCTGTTATTCACATCATGAAGGCAATTTCACGTGTCTCTTCCTCCTCTACATTACATAATAATTATTAAGTTTAAATATTTATACATGGTTTGATTAACTTAAAGTTAACCTAACATTAAAAAACTGGACAATTTGAACAAATTAAACTATATTACTAAACCCACTTAATATTATGCATTATATACTTCATTATACTCCATAATTACCAATGAATCTTACAAGAAAATATAACAATGTTTAAGGTATTTGCAAGAACTGGAACTCTGCAGTCAAGTACAAGAGCTCTTCAACAATCCTGCTGGAAAATGGCAAGAGAAAAAACAGTAATACAGAGCGAAGTTGTTGATTGATCGTATGTTGACTGACAGCACAAGTCACACTGGGAAGTACTGATGTGACAACTTTTTCTGGGAAGACTGATACAGTGGCGATGTAAACATTGACAGGCGTTGCACAAAGGCTTGAGAGTGAAGAATGCAACTTCAGGAACACAAGAATTGCACAAGTCTGAGAGTTCGTAAGATATTTACACGAAAAGCTTGACACTTACGCCCAAGCCACTGAAAAGAGCATTGATGACTCACGAAATCGTAATAACACGATTACAAACAAACCATACCACGGGCGGGGATAGAACCCGCGATCAGCGAGATCGCGGGTTCTATACCCACCCGTGGTATGGTTTTTTAAGAGCATTGATAAGAGTAAACGGGGTAGGAGGCTTGTTCGTGGCAGTAAAAGGTCAATAAGAGGGCAATAAAAGGGCAGTAAGAGGTCAGGGTGAATGTCAACACTCAGACATGATAGCTGGTTGCATGTAGCAATAAGTGATGTGCAACCTGGGTAGAAGCTACCAATATTTATGCGAGATAAATAAACTTTTAAAAACTCTTATGTTTAACAAGGTTTCAGTCTGGGTGAAGCTGATGATTTTGTTCTCATATATTTTTATTAAACAGTAATTATTTCTCTCATATCCCCTGTTATGTATAATAATTTAATTAAATTCTTGTTTTGCCTGTTAAATTTATTAAATACAAGAATTTAAATATCACTTTACCTTTCTAACCTATTTATTGATATGAATAAAATTTTAGTCTCTTCGTCCAGGTATTTTTTTAATTCCAGATGTTCAGCGTGTTCATCTCGATGTACCCTTCCTGTTCCCAGTTCTACAGGTAAACACTTCACTTTCTTGTTCTTGTCTCACTTTCACCATGAAGGTGAGTCTCACCCTGGTGACCCAGTCACACAACAATTACTTCTTACATTTACTTCTCTATATTTAACGTATTTTAGGAAAGCTACAGAGAAATACAGAGAAATTCCTCTTCTTGGATTATATACAAGTTGGCTTCCTACTGTAATTGTTTTACTGTGATTCTGATGAGGTGCAAAATTACTGGCAAACTGTGGGAGAATTTCTAATATGAACCCTTTCTAGTGAACCTTGTATAGCGTGTTCCTCCAGCAGAACCCTCTTTCAGTGATGCCTCATTGATGCCTATTTCATGGCCCATATGGAGGGACTTTTCAAATAAGGGAAAATTCCATTATAGTGCCCTTTATTATATAGATCTTAATGAAGACAGAATTATAGGTTCCTCATGTGAACTCACTCTTGTACCGATTATTTTGTGATTATTTTTCAGCTGAACTTTGATCAAGTAAATCTACTACCATTAGTATATAAAATCCATAATAAACAGGATTATTTTGGTTGAAATGCTAAACCTGTATGGGGTGGTACAGCGTCTCGAAATGGGAGTAATTCAGATTCATATCAAGGTAAGGGAGAACAAATGTATTTCCAGTGAACAAGAGCCTCTTATAACAATCAAGGAACCTCCTTCGTGGGTTGATATGTACGTAGATACGTACACACATTTAATTATCAAGTACAAAATTTAGGTAGGTATCCATCTCTTGGAAAGAAGCCACATAACACTATAAATACCAGCCTGGATCCCCTACAAAGACGTTCAGATTACTTTCAACCTTTGGTCAATATGTGTGGCTCTGGTGGCCTGGTGGTTAACGCTCTCGCTTCACACGGCGAGGGCCTGGGTTCGATTCCCAGCCAGAGCAGAAACATTGGACGTGTTTCTTTCCACCTGGGTGTTAGTCGACTGGTGTGGGTCGCATCCTGGGACACTGACCTAAGGAGGCCTGGTCACAGACCGGGCCGCGGGGGCCTTGACCCCCGGAACTCTCTCTAGGTAAACTATAGGTAAGATGTACCTCTTTTTTCAACTCTACAATCACGTACACAACGTTACCAGAGGGAATTTATTACCCATGATTAATTTGGAGACAGGAGTGAGAGTGTCAGGCCAGAACACCATGTCTCTCCCAGGAAACTTGCAGGCCACCATAATTTTGCTGTGATGGCAAATGTATGCAGCACCAGGCTTTTACAGAGATCCAGTATTTTTTCTTGTCCTGTTAGAGACCTTCTTACCGTCAAGATTACGCTCTTCTTGAACTTTACACGTCTTTAATGACTTCTTACAAAGTTGTTTCATATTATATGGCATTTTCTTGTCAAAAGAAAATTTATTTATTCATTATAAATGAAATTCTAAAGCTATTTGGTTTTACGTAACGAAAAGTAAAAATAAATACATATAAATATGTCGTGCCGAATAGGTAATAACTGGCCAATTAGCAAGAACTCATTTAAAATTAAGACCTTTCTAAAATTTTCTCTTATTCATTTAAAGACCTTTTTTCATTAAAGTTAATAATATATTATTAATTTTCTACCAAAAGAACCTTAGGAAACTTACCTAACCTTATTATAACTGCAAATTAATTTAGCCTAATCCCACTAAATATGTTTCTGATAAGTTTACAATAATTTAATAAACACAATGAAATGTATTTTTTTTTGGTAAGGTCAGTATGATTTTTGCAGAATTATTGCATACACAAATTTTCTCTTGCCTTATTCGGCAAGAAGAGCGTTGTTATTTAAGCCAAAATCGCAAATTTTATCTATCCGGCACGACATATATATATATATATATATATCGTATTGTAACCACGAACGAGTGATATTCAATCAATAACAACACATCGACTAGCTGGGGGGTCGAACCCATGTTGTTTTAGCCTCCCTCATGGTAAGCGAAAATTCCACGAAGCTCTAACCCATGGGACCATACAATCCTACCATATAATCCTACTTGTAGGATTGTATGGTCCCATGGGCTGGATTGTCGTGGAATTTTTGCTCACCATGAGGCTGGCTAAAACAATATAGGTTCGATCCCCCGGCCAGTCACAGTGTTGTTAATGATTACCACTCGTTCGTGGTTACAAAATGATATATACTGCTTGTAGAAGCTGGTTAACCAAACGGGGAGTAGAATGAAATTAGCTCTGAGGCACCCACACCATTGTATGTCGTCAGATCACGACTCAGTACCTATCATCAGTACACTACACACACACACACACACACACACACACACACACACACACACACACACACACACACACACACGGTCCAGTCTTGCTGGTTCATCCTCACCTCTCTCTCTCTCTGGTAATGTCCCTATCATGCATCATGTTAGGGATACTAGCAGAGAGGCAAGGATGAACCAGCAAGACTGGATCTCTTTTTCATCCTGAGTAGCTCGGACATTGAAGACATCACGTTTGAAAGTCCCCTTGGAGCTAGTGATGACGTGGTTCTGAGCTTTGAATACACAGTAGAGGTGCAAGTGGAGATGGGTAACAGGAGTAGGATGGGAAAAGCCAAGCTAGAAAATGGGGGACTACACAGGCATTAGGAACTTCCTGCAGGAGGTTCAGTGGGAAAGAGAACTGGTAGGAAAATCAATAAACGAAATGATGGAATATGTAACAACAAAATGCAGGAAGGCAGAGGAATGGTTTGTTCCTAAGGGCAACAGGAATAATTGGAAGACCAGAACGAGCCCTTGGTTTACCCGAAAGTGTAGGGAGGCAAAAACTAAGTGCACTAGAAAATGGAAAAAGTAAAGAAGACAAAGGACCCAGGAAAATAGAGAGATTAGTTGGAGAACTAGAAACGAGTATGCACAGATAAGGAGGGAGGCCCAGTGACAGTACGAGCACAACATAGTATCGAAAGTCAAATCTGACCTGAAGCTGCTGTACAGACACATCAGGAGGAAGACAACAGTCAGGGACCAGGTAATAAGGCTGTGGAAAGAAGGTGGGGAACTCACAAGAAGCAATCAAAATGTGAGGAGCTCAACGTGAGATTTAGGGAAGTATTTACAATGGAAACACAAAGGACTATGGGAAGTCAGAATAGGGGGGTATATCAATAAGGGATATACCAACAACTTCTGGATAAAATACAACCGAGGAGGAGGTGAAGAAGCTGCTAAGTGACCTTGATACTTCAAAAACTCTCTCCGTGGGTCCATAGAGAGGGAGAAGAAATGCTGTGTGAGCTACTAGCAACAGTTTTCAACACATCCATTGAAAATGGCCAACAACCTGAGGTATGGAAGACGGCAAATGTAGTCTCTATTCTTACGAAAGGAGACAGACACGAGGCAATAAAATACAGACCAGTGTCACCGACCTGTATAGTACACAAAGTCATGGTGAAGATTATAAGGAGCAGAGTGGTGGAGAACGTAGAACGGAACAAGCTTATAAAGGACAACCAGGACTGATTCAGGGAAGGAAAATCTTGTGTCGTAAACCTACTGGAGTTTTATGACAAGGTAACGGAAGTAAGACACGAGAGAGAGGGGTGGGTAGATTGCATTTTTTTTTTGTACTGTAACGCCTTCGGCACAGTTCCTCACAAGAGATTAGTGCAAAAGCTAGAGAGTCATGCACACACAACAGGAAGGGCACTGAAACAGATCAGAGAATACCTAACAGGGAGGCAACAACGAGTCATGGTACGTGACGAGGTATCACAGTGGGCACCTGTGACGAGGGGGGAAGGTCCACAGGGGTCACTCCTAGGACCAGTACTATTTTTGGTATATGTGAATGACATGACGGAAGGGATAGACTCAGAAGTGTCCCTGTTGGCAGATATGAAATTAATGAGGAGAATTAAATCGGAAGAGGTTCAGGCAGGACTACAGAGAGTCTTGGACTAGCTGGAAGACTGGTCGAGGAACTGGCTCCTCGAATTTAAGCCCGCCAAATGGAACGTAATGAAGCTCGGAGAAAGGCAAAGAAGACAGCAGACAGAATATAGGCTAGGTGGCTAAAACTGCAAACCTCACTCAATGAAAAGGATCTTGGGGTGAATATAATACCGAGCACATCTCCTGAGGTGCACATAAATCAGATAACTGCTGCAGCATATGGGCGCCTGGCAAACCTGACAATACCATTCCGATACCTCAGTAAGGAATTGTTCAAGACTCTGTACACCGTGTACGTCACGCCTATACTAGAGTATGCAGCACCAGTTTGGAACCCACACCTGGTCAAGTACGTCAAGAAATTAGAGAAAATGCAAAGGTTTGCAACAAGACTAATTCGAGAGCTAAAGGGAATGTTGTACGAAGAAAGGTTAAGGGAAATCGACCTGACGACACTGGAGGACAGGAGGGTTAGGGTAGACATGATAACGACATACAAAATACTGCAGGGAATTGACAAGGTGGACAGAGACATGATGATCTAGAAAAAGGACACATAAACAATGAGTCACTATTGGAAGTTGAAGACTCAAAGGGATATTAGGAAATATTTCTTCAGTCATAGCATTGTCAGAAAGTGGAATAGTCTGTGAAGTGACGTAGTGGAGACAGGAACCATACAGTTTTTAAGACGAGGTATGATAAAGCTTATGAAGCAGGGAGAGAGAGCAGGACCGGGAGCTATGTCTCGACCCCTGCAACCACAACTACACGAGTACAACTAGGTGATCACACACACGCAAAACACGCACACACACACACACACACACACACAGGAAGTATTTCTTCAGTCATAGAGTTGTAAGGCAGTGGAATAGCCTAGAAAATGACGTAGTGGAGGCAGGAACCATACACAGTTTTAAGACGAGGTTTGATAAAGCTCATGGAGCGGGGAGAGAGAGGGCCTAGTAGCAACCGGTGAAGAGGCGGGGCCAGGAGCTAGGACTCGACCCCTGCAACCACAAATAGGTGAGTACAAATAGGTGAGTACACACACACGCGCAAAACACACACACACACACACACACACACGCAAAACACACACACACACACACACACACACAAACATACACACACACAAACACACACACACACAAACACACACACACACATACACAACAACCAAACACACGCAAAACACACGCAAAACACACACACGCAAAACACACACACGCAAAACACACACACGCAAAACACACACACGCAAAACACACACACGCAAAACACACACACGCAAAACACACACACACACACACACACACACACACACACACACACACACACCTTGTTTTATATACATCATTAACTCAGTAATAAGTAAGTTGATCATATTTAAAGTCATTATAAAACTGAATCGTCCAAAATTTTTCTTTTTATGATTTTTTTTTATGCGCTGTTTCTATCACTTAATATTTTTTTTAGTATAAATTCATAAACATAAGCCAACATTTAAACTACATTTCTCACTTTAATAGTTTCGTTACGTAACATAAATTTATTATCGTGGGAGAGAGCTAAAGCCGTAGGGAGTTTTGTAATATGTACGACGACTGCGTAAATTATTATCAAAATTAAGCGCTGGATCCACAATAATTCACTGAACAAAATTTTGTTCACTAAACATGTGCAATCTTTTTTTCTTGCATGTGTTTGCTTACTGATTCAGTTGTTTACTAATCTCTGTATCCAAGAGCTTATAGTACAACCCGCTTACGACGACGTGTCGGTCCGACTTGAACCATTTACAAAGTCCAAGTCGGACCGAAACGTCGTCTTAAGCTCCTCTCTCCTATGTGCAAGTTATTTGTATATTGTTCCAGTCACGGTATTGTGCCTTTTTATTTATGAAGTTAGTGAATAAAAATGGGCATTTATAGTTGAAATTCCAGATATGGCTCGAGGTTTTTAGGAAGAAACATTATAAACCGGTTTGTTTGATCGATAATTTGTACAGTAATAAACCGAAACACTTAAATATTTACTTAATTTAATTATGAGAATCTGGTATCCCATGAGGATAATTGAGAGATATATACAATATACCTACACGAAACAAAAGATAAACTTTGTTCATTATATTATGTGGTTTAACATAGGTAAGACACATATGCAACAGTTAGACAACTTTATTCCGAAACGTTTCGCCTACACAGTAGGCTTCTTCAGTCGAATACAGAAAGTAGGCAGGAACAGTAGAGATGTGAAGACGATGTAATCAGTCCATCACCCTTGAAGTCGTAGAATTTGAGGTTGTCAGTGCCTCAGCCTGGAGAAGTTCAGTTCCATAGTCAGATAGTTCCAGACTATGGAACTGAACTTCTCCAGGCCGAGGGACTGACAACCTCAAATTCTACGACTACAAGGGTGATGGACTGATTACATCGTCTTCACATCTCTACTGTTCCTGCCTACTTTCTGTATTCGACTGAAGAAGCCTACTTTGTAGGCGAAACGTTTCGGAATAAAGTTGTCTAACTGTTGCATATGTGTCTTACCTAACAACCTGTCGGTATTGTATACCATTTTGATGTTCAAAGTTTAAATTAGATAGTAATGATATCGCATAGTGTAATATTAAATTATGATTTTTTCCTGCCTACAGCCAGCCCACAGCCTTGTTTGAGGCCCTTCCGCCAACATCAGTGTAGTGTGCCTTATATTTTCGTAGGTTTTCCCCAATGATCTCTGTAATAAACTATATATTTCAACAATTACTGGTTTCCTTAACCTGAAAGTCTAGTTTGGATGGAAAGGAAAAATTTCAAACCTTAATGGTTTTCAAAATAGAGAAAATAAAACGTAGTAATTCCAGAGATGAATTCCAGAGATGCATCAAGTCAGTACTCAAACCCAGCTGTCAGTTTTAAGTTTCTCCTAGGTATTTTCTTGTTACTTTACCTAGTGTGACCCAAAACGTTCGATATTAACTTCAGTATCCTGGTCACAGACCGGGCCGCGGGGGCGTTGACCCCCGGAACTCTCTCCAGGTAAACTCCAGGTATAATAGACTCACTGCTGCTTCAGTGACCCAGGTCCTATGTTGGGTCACTTGCCTCCGTGTCTTTGGCAAAGAAGACAGGTCGTTACCTCAGTGACGCAGAAATGTTATAGCCATATGGGGGACCAGAAACGATGCTGGAGGTGGAACTGCTTAACCTTATGCACCAACATGTTAGGGACACAGCCAGAGGGAGAGGAGGGGACGAACCAGCAGAATTTGACCTCGTATTCACTTTGACCAGTTCCAACGTTGGGGATGTCACATGTGAAAGGCCCCGCGGCCCTACAGATCACGTGTTCCTGAAATCTCGAATACATAAGAGTAGAGAGTGAAGGAGGATGGACGACGGGAGAAGCAAATTTACAGAAGACTACACAGGTACGAGGCAATTGCTGCATGAGGTGCAGATATGATGTCAATGAGGAGAATTAAATCGGATGAGGATCAGGCAGGACTACAAAGAGACATGGACAGGCTGAAAGCTTAGTACAGCAACTGGCTACTCGAATTTAATCCCGCCAAATGAAAAATCATGAAGATCGGGGAAGGGCTAAGAAGACCTCAGACAGAGTATAGGCTAGGCGGCGAAAGACTGCAAACCTCACTCAAGGAAAAGGATCTTGGGGTAAGTGTAATACCGAGAACACCTCCTGAAGTGCACCTCAGCAAGATAACTGCTGCAGTATACCTGATAATAGCATTCCGATACCTCAGTAAGGAATCATTCAAGACTCTCTACACCCTGTATGCCAGGCCCAATTGTTGGAAAAACTTCTAATTTCAATATTAAAAGCAATATAGATTTAGTGTGCAAATTAATTACAATAAGGTTAGCTTTGATGTTACCTCTTTCTTCACAAAAGTTCCAGTTGATAATGTATTAAATTTCCTATCTGTAAACCAAGTCAGTGTAATTTAAAAAAAAAAAAAAAAAAATCTTGTCTTTCCATGTTGCACACAATTTTCAAACTGCTGTCCCCTCCGAAGTCAGAAAATAATACTCCATTGTCACCCTCCGCAATGTTTCTGATGTCAGGATTGAACAGTATATCCCCGATTTCACTGCTGTAGAAGGTTGGTATGTCAGTAGTCATGGTTAGTTGATATTTGTTGGGGTGGTAATACCCACAATACCCCGTGCATACCCATGAGGCCTGGATTTTTTCCTAGGATGCTCGAGATACCTAGTAACCTAAACAATACAACTTGGGTCTAAAATGGCAGGAAGATGCAAATATGAAGCCTGGAATAATTGTATGTATTAGTATGTCGATCGAAAGATTGCAAACATTTTCAAATTGCAAAATAAACAGAGAGAGAGAGAGGAGGAGGAGGAGGAGGATGGACAGGTATTATGACGTAACGTTGAAAAAAGGCTTGCTTCCTGAGGGACAAGATCTCCATTATCGTGATCTTAAGTAATACATCTGAACCAGTAATATCTTCCCACGTATCTCAACCCCCACATATCACTGGGGCGCTGATTACCTAAGAATGAAGAGAAGACCATTATTTTTATCTGAAAAATTATTTGGAACTTTGAGATAAAAACATTCTTCCTCGTCGCAACTGGATTACGGAGATTAGCTTGTATATCAGGCTGCCTCACGGAGCGGGAAGCGTTAATGGCCGCTATCAGCTACGTGCCGGAGTTCTTTCCTCAGCGTCAACCCCTAAGTTGTGTAAGTAAAACCATGGTTTACCAGGGGAGCTGATAAGGGACACCTTTAATTTAGCTCTTTCATCTCTAAACTCAGCAAAACGGGTATTTAATGGGTTAATTATCGGGTTCGTGAGTCATTATTTCCCGTAATGGGTGAATTTATGCCTACCTGGAGTCTACCTGGACGGTGTTAAGGGGGTCAACGCCCCCGTGATCCGGTCCATAAGTAACTTGATTATGTTTGATATTTTGTCTGAAATGAATATATGAAAATTATACAAGTAGTAACCTTGAAAAAATATTTAATAAAACATCAGCAACCCATTAGTCAGTCATCAGTTTTTCCAAGACTGATGGACTGATTACATGGACTCCAGGCTGAGGGACTGAGTACCTCAAACTTCTCCTGATTCTCACCATTCTCCTTTGTATAGCACTGATGAAGCTATTGTGAGGCGAAACGTTTCCTCAGTAGAGATACCCAAGTGTTGTGTCTAATTTACCAACTTTTCAGTTCTCTAAAGCACTCATTTTCAGTCTCCTTACTTCATAACTAGTCAGAATCCGGTACATAACCTGGATCAGTATTCGGTTTGTATTGTTACACAGTAATGCCGTTAAGTTCGGTCATGAAGATCACAACAAAGTGAACAGAAAGTACACAAGGAAATATTTTAAATGTTATATCTGGATTAAAATTATTCACATGGAAGTAAACAAAGACAGTGGCGACTTTTTAAATATCAATTTTAAAGATATTAAATCTTATAACACTTGCCTTTTTCCCCAAGTCAAATTTAATTACCCCCCCCACACACCTCATCACCTCTCCTCTCTCTTCTTCCCTCTTCTCCACTTCCCTTCCTTATTCTCTTACTCATTCTGCCTTTGGGGTTATTCCCCTTGTAAATTGCAGCTGTGATGATAGCAAGGGTATCTTTGTCTGCCTCGTTCCGTTGAGGCCCTCGATGGTAGCGTTGGTTGTCGTGGAAATTGCATTATCTTGAGATGTGCAGAGATGCCCTCTAGCATTCCGGAGGGCAGCTTTGTGTGTCCTTAAGTTGACGGATGAATCCCTGGAGGCTGCCTGTCTGCTCGGAAAGGTGGCGGGTTTCCGGTTGTGAATTTCTTTTGTCTGCCGAGGTGGCTCGGTGGATGCCAGGCTGCCATCTTGGACTGCTGGTTTATTGTCATGAAGGGAAGGTTGAGAGCAGTTTCTATATATCATCATCCTCAACAAATTTACCAGGGGTACTCTTGGATGACAGGGGTACTCTTGGATGACAGGGGTACTCTTGGATGACAGGTGTACTCTTGGATGACAGGGGTACTCTTGGATGACAGGGGTACTCTTGGATGTCAGGGGTACTCTTGGATGTCAGGGGTACTCTTGGATGTCAGGGGTACTCTTGGATGTCAGGGGTACTCTTGGATGTCAGGGGCACTCTTGGATGTCAGGGGCACTCTTGGATGTCAGGGGCACTCTTGGATGACAGGGGTACTCTTGGATGGGGTACTCTTGGATGACAGGGGTACTCTTGGAGGCCAGTGGAACACTTGAATGCAGGAGGTGCTGTTGGATATAAAGGGTACTCTTGGATACAAGCGGTACTCTTGGATACAAGCGGTACTCTTGGATACAAGCGGTACTCTTGGATGCTGGGGGGACATACGATCTCTCTTAGTATCTCATCGGAGCAGTCACTCTTCCCTCCTTTATAGAAAAAGATAGAAAACATAGCTATGGACGATGGTATCCAGGCTATGACTTCTCATAGGCACCTTCTTTCCCCCTGCAGCAACTTAATTAACATTAGTCAACAACAACATTCTCCATAGCTATCAATCGGGCTTTAGAAGATCCTACTCAACCGACACTTCCCTAATTAATCTGATGGATTACCTGAGAACTGAAATGTCAAAGGGGAACCTCATAGGTATGGTAACCTTAGACCTGCAAAAGGCCTTCGATACTGTCAACCACAATATATTATGTAAGAAACTTCAAGCTATCGGTATAGGTTTTGTAGACTGGTTTTAAGTCTTACCTTAGCAACAGGAGACAAATAGTCAAAATCAACAAAACGGAATCAGGACCCCTGCCGATAACATGTGGAGTTCCCCAAGGTAGTATTCTGGGTCCCTTATTATTCTTATGTTATGTCAATGACATGCCTATCAGTGTCAAGTGCAAACTTCTACTGTATGCAGATGACAGTGCCCTGTTAGTGTCAGGCAAAGACCCACAAGATATAGCTAATGTTTTAACACTGGAACTGGAGTCCTGCAGCAAATGGTTAGTAGACAACAAACTATCATTACACCTCGGGAAAACTGAAGCCATTCTCTTTGGCACGAAACAAACTGAGAAGGGTAAATAATTTTAATGTTCAGTGTAATGGGGAGCCCGTCACTTCGGTTTCATCAGTAAAATATCTGGGAGTCCCCTTTGACCCATGCATGTCAGGAGAATTGATAGGGAACAGTGTAGTAAAGAAAGCGATTGCCAGACTGAAGTTCCTGTATAGACAAGCACAGTGTCTACCTACTGAGGCTCGCAGGACCCTATGTCTAGCCCTTATACAAAGTCATATGGACTACGCTTGCTCTTCATGGTACTCTGCCTTGACAAAAAAAAACTGAAAGATAGACTGCAAATCACCCAGAACAAAATCGTAAGATTCATCCTGGGGCTGGGACCAAGAGAACATGTAGGCCAGAATGAATTACAGCAGTTGGATATGCTGAATGTTGAAGACAGAGTAAAAAAAATGAAGCTAAATCATGTTTATAAAATTGCTCACAGTGTCCAGAATATCTAGCTGTCAATTTTGTCAAGGTTGGGAACCAAAGCAATCATAGTACTAGGGGGAGAGAGCACAACTTTGTAGTACCCACAGTCAGTGGCCAGGCTTCAAACACCTTTTATTGTACAGCAATAAAGGAATGGAACAGACTGCCTGCACATATCAAAGCCAGTCATAGCATGAACCAGTTCAAGAAGAGTGCCAAAAGGTGTCTGATGAATGTAGCTACAGAAATGGAGGGGAATGATTTTCTATTTTTTAGCTAACATACGTGTAAATTTTACCTTATTCCTAGTAATGACCTTCGTATTGTAGATAGTCTTAA